ATTGATGTTCCTATTTCTGAATGAATTTTCATAATGTTCACCCTGACAAAACCTATTATTTTCTAGTCTCAATGCTGATTATCCCGCTAATTCAGAGTTGTCATCTCGCCATTTATTTTTTCGTGGCGATGTGGTTGAGGTTCCCAAATAGCACAGGACCAATTTCATATCCTTTTCATAGCCGAACGTCCCAGACTCTGATTTGGACGTCCTGAGGACGACCAACGCCAAACGTTTCGATGACGTACGACGCGGACGTCCTGGGGACGTACATTTCGGGTCGAAATCAATATTGATATCATCAATTCAATAATATTGCGTGAATTATTATTGGTCTCTCAGATTCTATGATTTTTCGTCATAACTCAGATGCATAAATACTCATATCAAAATTTTCTTGATGATGTGAAATGAAACATAATTTTCTCCGTTTCGTTCAGCTTCGTGAAAATTCAATAACAAGATAGTAGGTCCGCATCTCCACCAAAGCAAGAGCTTTTTTTAATTTTTCTCATTCTCCTTCAATATACTTGGAATATTCTCAGAATATTTAAATGAGTCTATTCCGAATGTTCATAAAACATCCCTAGTATATTTGTATCATATTGTGAGCATATTCTGAGGATATTCAGATAATCTCGAAAAATATTCTATGAATGACATTGTGCTATCTAGGTAGGAATAATTTCATGAATCAACATTGAAGACCCAACCCTATTCCCAAACTATTTGATATTCAAAACATGATGATCATGAACCGAAACTGTTATATTTTTTTTGTTTCATTTTTTGTTCATTTAGTCAACATTTCAACCACAGCCTCCAAACTCCACTCAAGTGTACAATGTAGGTACATTGTTCATTGAGAATAAGTTTATATCTCATATTATGTGATGGTTTTTTATACTCCAGAAAATAAATTGTCTGCTGAGTAAAAAGTGAACTGGATTCCAATTTATAATTCTCCTATGTATAGTAAAAAAACAGTGATATAATTCATGTCCATAATTGAACCATATTTGATATAATAATCCATAATATGATATTCTCACTAGGAAATGAATGAAAGATACTTGTGGTCACCTGAAATCAGAATGGAATTATGTATAACAGAAAGAACGAACAAGTGTTAATATAACTACCTATATTTTCTTATTCATTTGATTTCCAAGGAAACAACTTATTTGTGATTCATCACAGAAGTAAATTCAGATTCACCTATTTCAATCTTCCTTTAGTAACATAGGTCAAGCTTGTGGCATTTCCTTTTGTTGCTGAAGTTCTGAAAATTTTGGGAGAATGTGTTCAGTTCTCTAGTTATATCTACTTGTGCGAATTTATATATTTTCTTCTCAAATCTCACCTATATTTTCATTTGTTTTGCGAGAATGTGCCGAAAAAGGGCCTGCCTATTCATCTTCAAATTTCCATGATTCTCAAAAAATCATGATTCAGGATACTTTATCTAATTTTCATATTTTTTCAAATCTGAACTCTGTGGCACCCTTTCCAAATTCCTTCGTTAGTGTCACCTCTTCAGACTAGCAGTTCACTTATCATTTATATCATTGCAACTTTGATGAAAAATAATATTTATAAATAATAAACGAACACATATATATGTTTATAATGTCAAATAGAAATGTCTGATTGATCCAAATTCCCTACTTGTCCAACATGTCACCTGATTGGTCTAAGCCAATTGTTGAGCTAGTGTTCGAGAGCTGTCTACAAGCATTCATAAAAAAACTAGCTTGTTAGATCTGATTTGATTATTTTTGCACATTGGACTCAAGGGCCATGAGTCTTGCTTGCTCAGGGCTGTCCATTGATGAGACCAAATTTTCAGTTCTGGACCAGTGCTGAAGCCTTCGAAAACGGTAAGAAGTGAAAAAAAAAATATTGTAGGATGATTTCCATCGCAGAAAAAAGCGAGAATATGACATGATGAAAGAAAAAATGGATTACGGACAATCTGAGGTCGTGAAGTGGTGTAGGGGGTGAGAGTTCAAGGGTAAAAAACCGGTTCAACCCGATTTCCGGCAAAAATATGAGCCCCATGAGAAAAAGATATTTGGAGGATGTTTTGGTGATAAAAAAATTCAAAACTTTCATGATCATGATATGTTTACATATAACCTCGAAATGTATGTGAATAATTCAAATAACCAAGTTTTCCGTTTTTTATTTATTTTGAGGGTGTGAGGAAATATATGCATCATCGTGGTTGATGTTCTCAGAAAATGTGAAGTGACGAGAAAGCAGCAATCACATTTTGAATTCTGATACTTTACCACATAAACAAAACTTGAGATTTACTCATAAAACGTTGGTTAGTTCTGAGATGACATTGACAAAACTTCTGGATTTGAAAAATCAAGATAATACAAACGGAACTATCGATCTTGTCTCAAGATGTGCAATGATCGGACAGGTGAAACGATCCCCCACCACCACAATCACGAACATCATAATATGAGTTACCTACTCAAAAGAAAATGAATAGTAACTAATAAAACGTTGGGAAGGTCAATCAAGAACAATAATGACACTTCTGAATTTGGAGTATCAGGAGAACACTTACTGAACTTTGAATCATGTACTGAGGTTTATATTGGTCAGACAGATAGAAGTATAGAACACCGCATTCAAGATCATAATGTGAATTTTCCAAAGAAGATACATCCAACATGGCGTCACCATGAAATTGGAGAATAATCACTGTTTAGATCACAAGACCGGGAATTCACATGTAGATAATGAGATAATTCATATTAATTTTCTATCAACGACCATACTTCGACCTCAATGTATCAGTGCTTATTTGTTTCATCAGCAGAAAATATTTGCATCTACGTTTTTCATCATACCGAATTTAAATTCAGATATTGTGCATACTTTTCGAAATGGAGGTTCCTGAATCTGTTGGGTTCGTTGATAACTGTATACAGGATGGGTCACGGTCGATGGTACGTTAGAAAGTTGGTTTTTTATTTTTATTTTCCAACACAAAAAATGCTGAATTAGAGAGAAAAAGGTAGCAATCGACGATCAATATTTTCTGCCCTAGGCAACTCACTGACATGAGCTGGATTAAAGGTTTACTCCTAGGAGTCAGCTCCCTCATGACTCCCATCAGGGTTGTTAGACAAAAATCATCGGCAAGGCCTGCATCGGCTGCCTCTGAGGGCTCCCTTGGAGGGTAATTCTGTGGCGTATCTAAGTGTTTTACATTGTATGTTTTACATTTTTATCATGTCCAATGTCCCCTTCAGAAGATTTTTGTTTATACATCTTGTATTGTAAAAATGTTTTTATTGAATAAATGGAATTATTGAATAAATGGAATTATTGAATAAATGGAATTGAAACGGTACCTTAGACGTTCACTGGGAATATGGCATATAATTATCCTGGAAATTGGATCACTAAATAAGTAGTTCATCTTGGTCTATCGATCTCTAATATTTTCAGCAACGCAGCGTTGTTGTTTATACCTGGAAAGCTGATATCATCAATATTTCACGCACTTGTTATCGAGCAAGAACGATTACAGAGATATAGGGTTTTCAAAATATGGATTTTCGACTTTCAGATTTTTTTGTGTAGATAATTTTGATTCAAAACGGTTTCAATGTTTTTCCATGAATTCTCGAATAACTATTATCTGATGAAATTCAATTGGAACAGATACAGGGTGATTACAATTCCAAATCTCGAACCACCTTGTATTAGTTCCAATCAAATGTCACTAGATATTGAATGAAAAGTTGAGATAGGGACATGAAAACAGTTCTAGCCGATAATAAATAGTTTTGACAGAATAAAAAATTAAATTTGAAAAATAAAGCATTACTGAAAATATTTCATAATGATAGACCAAAAGAAACTACTTGAATAACCAGATTTCCACAATGATCCTCTGTCCAGTTCCCCGTAAACCTCTAAGGTACCGTACACCGTCATTGATCCTGTATAAATTAGGCTAGTCAATGTTGGGATGATTTATTGTACGAGTTGGTATTTCGCTCGAAGTAGCTACCTTGTAAACGAAACATGTGTTTATATACAACTAACTCACAAATTGAAGCATCACGAATACTCAATGAATTCGGTAAAAACACGATCAAAATAAAGAAGAGGTTGAATGGATATGAATTGAGATTCAGGCCATTTTTCTTGGGATAAATTCAGGGTTATCTGAATCATCTTGTGTTACATCAAGTTCAAACTAGAAGCTGATCTCAATTTTGAGTTCAAACTCGGATTTGACACTTATTTTGAGTTCCAGTGTTATTGACTACGGATTTCACGATTTCATCACGAAAATCAGAATCTTTTTTCATATGTTTTTCCCTTTCGAAACAGTATATTCCTATTCCATGTATGATGGTGTATAAATTTCCAATTGTTTCAAATATAAAAATCCTATATTCGAACGCATATCATGAAATAGTGTTTTTTCCTGATTTCGAATATGTTCATTTCTCTGAAATTCCATGTTATAATACTGGGTGAATCAACTGAATAAAATTCCAGATCAATTGAAATTTTTGCCACAAAATCATTTGATTCAAGACAAGTTGAGCTACAATCAAGAGAATATCGGAGAGATCGATTACCAGTTGACTACACAGCAGCAGTCAAGGGCCGAGAAGATATTAGAATTCGAATTTATGACTCTAGGAGTGTTCTTCGACGTATAGTGGGAGCTCTTGGCAAGGCGAGGATAGCGACAATACGTTCGGCATAACAAAACCTTGAGAACTGTCCCTCCCATTGGTCAGCTGGGTGGTAGTAAATTCGAATACTCATTCAGGAGAGAGCAACACAATTATATTAGACTTTCTGAAGAATACCATTTTTTTGGTCTCGAGACTGGACCACGAATTCTATTTGAGAAAGGAGCACTGTTCATGGAATTAAAAAAATCACTATCATTGAACTACTGGACATCATTTCACCAAATCAAATTCTGAGTGACAATGAATTCATTATTATTAAGACTCACCAAGCATGTTGACTACTCTCTTCTGTGCGCTATCATCTTTGTCACTCTTCCTGCCGAACTCCTCAGGTTCTTTTTCACCTTTCCTTGACTTGGGTCTGACGGGTCCTATATTCCTCGACTTCCGCAGCTGCATTCCAATCAACACATACAAAACGGTGATGAGGCTCATCGGCCCAACAAATATTATGAATGTCGATATTTCGAAAGCATGATCAAAGAAGTTATTGATTACTGTGCAATGGGTAGTAGTAACGCCATTATCAATTTCTTCGATTACTCCAAACTGTATAGCTTGTGGTATTGCCAATGTCAAAGATATAACCCATATTCCAATGACGAACTTAACTGCTCTGCTTGGTTTCGACCAGGTGTGTGACACGAAAGGGTGACAAATTGCAACATATCTCTCAGCGGTGAAAGCAGTGATGGTAAGGACAGTAGCATTAGCGGAGGTTTCAGCTGCCAGGCCTTGAATAATACAACAAACTTCTCCGAATATGTATCTATCAGGTGACCAAATCCTGTACATCTCAGGTGGTAGACCAGAGAGTAATAAGAGCAAGTCGGAACATGCCAAACTGAATAGGTAATAGTTCGTAGCAGTCTGCATAGATTTATTTTTTGCAATCACAACACAAGTACTGATGTTTCCAATAACTCCCATGATGAAGATCATGACGTAGATGATAGTGAAGGGTAGCACAATCGAAAAAGGATAAAGATTGATCATTCCTGAAATATTTTCAGATGAATTCGTAGAGAAAATCGTACTATAGTTATCTAATGGGGTATCTGTAAAGATTGTTACACCTTCCATTTCACTCAACACTAACATTTCAGAAGTAACTACTAACACGATGGAATTCAAGAGTCTGTTTGTATTAAAAGAGCTATATTCATAATGAGCTCAATTTTTATAAAGGAGTACTATCGCGAGCCATGAACTTCACGGACGTGAGTGCATATCTCCACTCATTAACATCAGAATGTACAACCACCTTGTTAGGGAGCTGTTAGTATAAATAAATTGCGACACTGATTGTGTTGCCGGCTTCGATATTTTCGATACCTACGCATGCTATCAGGAGTTCCTATGTTGCCACAGTTACACATACAATCCAATTACTCAAGTTTTCATCCATCATGCATCATAATTAGAATACGATCGACTCTGGCATCGATCACGAAGTAATTGATGCAACTTTCAATTAGCATATCTCATGTAAAATAGCGAGAGCAATGCCTCAATCAGAGATGCAACAAAAACGAATATGTGTCTCGGATCAAATCACAAACTCATCTCATTATTCATCGAATATTCTTCATACTCATCAGACATGATATCAGTGACATGTTTTGTTTCAGTCACTATCGAGGCAAATATCTCTCATTTCCCTAGGTTTTTTGAGATTGTCTCTTCTCGTTTTTATAATTGAGTATATGAGTAAATAGACCCCCCCGCACGGTTCTTATGGAAAATGTGTTCTAGTCGAATTGGGTCGAAATTCGGTAAAATGTAGTTCAAGATGTCCTGATCAAATGTCTCCATGGGCACAACAGGATATAATGGACAATTTCCAAATACAGGGGGTTTAAAATGCAGAGGCAGGGTTGTTTCTCACCTTTAGAAAATCAGTTATGTGGCGATTACTCTATCACAAAGAGTCAAGTATAACAAATATAATCTTGATATTGTCGACACGGGTTGTAATAAAAAGAACTCAGACTTCGTGTACAGGGATATTCATTTTCTAGTTAGGTACGTACTATAGCTGCCAATGTTGATTTTTATATAATTCTTAGAACAACCTCAGTCACACGCAAAAGCTCAAAGCCTGAGTGAATATCATTTAATTTCAATATTGGGTGATCTGAGGTGACTTTTATACAGGGTCACTCATGAAAATTATTTGTTTCATCTTGTATGAATTCTATAATTCGGTTAGGAGATAGCCCGTACAGCCAATGTTTGGTTGATGGGCTGCGAATCTGAAAAATCATACAACTAGACAGTAGCAAGATTTATTATTGGTATGATATCGATATGATACAAGCAGTAGATTAACACTGCATCAATAATCATCTAGAGCATTCTTTTTCTTCTTCACCTTGCGTGATTCCATAAAATGAGTAATATGGCTGTGACATTATTACGTGAAGCTGAAATATCATAGGTACCTACAAACATGGATTTTTTGTGTGAAAACGCAGGATCATTATGAAAAAAAGTAAAACTCAATACAGGCAATAGGCACGTGGTCTCATCTCAAAGTGTCACAGTAGCTTCAAATATAGGGCCAGTTTCAGAGGCTAACTTCCATCATCCAGTGTCACTTTGCGTCAACTCGGGAAGACAGTGGCACACATACGTTGAAATATCGTTGAAACTCCTAAGGTACCAAAGGTTTGTGATCAGTTGAAATAGCGCTGGAAATAACGTGTTTTTTCCCATTGAGATGGGAAATAATGTAATATTTCCTAATGGTACGTTGAGTGGATTGTTATTTATACGTTTTTTAAACACGTTAGATAGATGAACTGAAATGACGACGTTGAAAATTCAACGGAAATTCGATAAGTAACTTGAGAAATTATACCATTCAACGTTGAAACAACGAACTGCCTATTAGGGAGAATATTTTCTGAAATATTCCATTCACTTCTGATGCTGTACAGTATCTGAGATATACATACGTGAAAAATGGAAATGTATGAGAATTATAAATGACTGATAAAACAGTGAAACTGTAAAACTTCAACGCGACCATTAGTAGACACTAACTGTCACTGATTTCATCTCGAAGCGATACGGCCAGGGGCATTCAAAGCTAATGCCATCGATAGACTGGTGTCAAAGATCTCAAAAGAATTGAAAACGTGAGCATTGTTTTTTTTACGGGCGAAGTAATTGTCTGTACTTAATCAGGTAGACAATTTTTATTGCAACGTTGGTGGATATAAATTAAAAAACTGATGAACAATATTTCGTGGCTGTGGTCTGTTCGCTGAATCTTGAACAAAGTCTATTAATTGAGTTGAGGGAGAGCGAATGTCTGGTGGATAGAGTGAGTACCCCAAAAACCATATTACACTAGCAATATGTGCGCAGAAACCGACAGTTTGAGCACCAGATCCACAGGTGCAGTAATAATCATCTATAGATTCTTCTGCATCAATCATTCCTTCATCATTCGTTGGTCAATATGAAACCCACAGTTTGATATTTAGGTGCATCTCTGAAACGAGAGAATATTCTAACCCTTGGAATCACTGGCCATGGTAGTCTGTTGATATCTTCGAAAGTTTCAAACTGAAATCCTTCGCAGTGATCCCTATGTAATTCGTCTTGGACATAAGAAGGTTCCAACTCTACTTGGCATCCAAACGCACTCACCTTCGAGCATTTCTATTCAGTATTCAGAATCTCTAGGTCAACTAGTGCTAGAACGAAATTTCATTCTGTAGCCTTTTTGAGTAATCTTTGTGAAGATTGTGCATCGGCTCCTTCCCTAAGGATAGAAAAATGATACCTATTAATAATCACTTCAGCTATCCGATGAAGATCCCAAGATGGGAAAGATGTTGGATCTGAATATTTTGTTGTCGAAACTTGAATATTGATTTTATGTAGTAGTTTCTTGCTTCCACGATCCACCTCGACTTTGTAATCGAAGGAGAGTCATTAGCATATTCAGTTGCGAGTTGGTGTTGGTTAGGCAGCATAAGTGCTGGCATTTTATGCACAATGCCTAGGTGTCCAAGTATTCCAGCAGCATCACGATACCCCCATCCATTACTACAATATTATTTTTCTGGAACCATGTTTTCTTTATATTACCATCACGAATTTTGGCAATTATCTAAAACAGACTTTTGGAATTTGATGCTAGGATTGAAACTTCCAAATCAATCAAAAAGCTTGAAAAAACAAAATGAGAACGACTATTGGCACAAGAGTACATGATGGTGCAAATCGTTACCACCGATACAACAAGGCCTGCATGCTCCGTGGGTGACGTCACTTAGTGAGGCCTAACCAGCGGCTCGAAACGACAAGCGCTTATAGCGCTTTGAGGCGACCGCGTATTTCTATTTTAGTTTTAGATCATTATTGAGCCGATTTTGCTGTTTTTATGAAGGGCTTCCGGTTGAAAAATGATGCCAGTCGTCAACTGAGCCCTTCTTCGCACCCCATTCGATTTTATTATGGAAAAACGAAGTTTTGAAGCAAAAACCAGCATAAAACACAAATATCCACCTACAGCAACCCATTCGAATTAAATATATTGGCAAAAATTGTGGTGAAGGTAAACTTCACACCTACTTATACAGGGCCCGCTGAACATGAACTTATCGTGAGATTGATCGAAAGAAAATTGTGGAAAATGTATTTTATTTTGATCGACATGTCGTTTGTTACAATTACCTATATTTATGCTTTTGTGTGTATGATAAATTGACATTCATCATACAGGGCGTGGAAAGAAATTCTGAATTGAGACTCTATCACGAATCTGCGATTAGAAGTCTATAAAAATCACAAGTTTCCATCATTCAAGTTTGAACCCCCTGATTGGGTATGAAAGTATTGAAAAGGAATATTCTCAGATGAATTATGAACATACAAAAATGGATATATATTTATATGAAGCAATTCATTGAGAATTCGCATTCTCTATGTGATGAGAATATTTACTCTTTCTCAGTTGATTCGATAGAAAACAACTACTTTCCTGGCTATATGCCACGACGAACATTGAATTATATCTATTGAACACACACGATAAGAGTTTTTATATTTTATTTTCAAACTCTTATCGTGTGTGTTCAATAGATATAATTCAATGTTCGTCGTAGCATACAGGAAAGTAGTTGTTTTCTATTGAATCAACTGAGAAAGAGTAAATATTCTCATCACATAGAGAATGCGAATTCTCAATGAACTGCTTTATATAAATATATATCAATTTTTGTATGTTCATAATTCATCTGAGAATATTCCTTTTCAATACCTATATTTATCTTGGAGAATTCCTATTACCTGAAAAAATATCCAGTGAGTGTTTTCAATTTTCTGTTGTTGGATTTTTCACCCAAGTGAATCGTTACACTTGAAACCGTAATTTTTGAGGTAGAATAGTATTTTTGTCTGATAAACCGAATTTTATAATGAAAATGTGAAAAAAACACTATTTATTGAGATATTTCAAGAAAAAGTTCGAAATTTCGCCTTCTTTCTCCCCTTGTGTTGGGGGCATTTGAAGCTACTTGCTCTTATTTTGTCATTGGACACTTTATATACTTATGATGTACTTCGATGGCACATTTTTATATAGAAAATTCAACAGGAAATATGATTTTTATGGCGAGTTTCCCATATTTAGTGAACAAGCATTCCAGATGACGACCATTCAATCAATAGTCAATCAAAATACGAGATGTCAAATGTCAATAGATTGCTTTCGAATGACATTACACACGCCATTATTTTGAATGATATTCTTCCTTCTTTTCACTAAATATGGATTAATCTCAAGAAAATCATATTTATAGTTGAATTATATATAAATTGTCCAATATGATGAGAAAAGAAGGAAAATTTGTTCTGAATGCCATCCAGAAGACAGGTGAAAAAGAAGGTGAAATTTGAAACTTTTTAGTCAA